GGTTTTGTCTGAAAATGGGGTCTAGCAAACCCAAAACAGATTCCAAAATGACCGTGGGAAACCTGGAAATATGACGTACCATCTGGTTATTTGTTACATAGCCATGGAAAATCACCATTTTTAATAGGTAAACCATCTATTTCTATGGGCCATCTATACCATGGCTATGTTAGTCATAACCAGAGGGTAAACAACTGATCCATAACATCCATGGAAACATTGAAAAAATCGGTTTCTTTTTGGGGTTTGCTATTTCCAAATTTGATGGTTGAAAAAATCATCCCAATGAACATGGATATGGCAAGTTATAGACCCATTTTCAGACCCAGCCATATGTCAATGGTGTACTTTGCTTCCCAAACCAATCGGCAAAGTGTCCACCAAACTCCTCCGATACTGGGAATCTAGAGACAGCGAAGCAGCGTAGTCATCGAACGATTCAATACTCACCACAGCATGCCGTCATGTGATGGGGCTCAATTTGGTATACACTCCTGTAAACGTTTACATAGATGTAGAACACTCACCATTGATCATGTTCAAACAGGTTTCTCCAGGGGGTTTTCCACATCTACAGTATGTTAGTTTCCCCTAGTGGCAAGGCCATTCAACTGGCCTCGAGTCGCAACAGATCGACAGGTCCTGCAGAGGATTACCCTGGTTCTGAAATAATTAGAGAGTGATACTACCTGGATTCTTGGGAGGGAAACCTATCAACTATCAACCAATCTCATGAAATACTGGGATAGGGGTATGTTTAAATGAGGAGATCGGTAACAACGTGAGGAACATGTTGACATCATCCTTGGTCCAAGAGGCCAAGAGGTTGGACCAGAAATCACCCAGTCGAATCAGTTCCCTGATTTTGCGGGAGACCTAGGTGGAAGCAATACATAGCCCAATCGAATCTATTGCTGTATTGGGTCGAGAAATTCTGCCGATTTTCAATCCATTTACTCGGACATTTCAGATGGTTATTCCAATGCACCCAGCCAAACCACCAACTCGACATTGGTGAAAATGTTGTGTTCCCTTGATATCAGTTTTTCATAGACATATAAATATAACTAAATATACATATAATATCAGAATGACGGCACAATCCACCAACAGAATCTCATTGGCTTGGTATCATTTTGCCATGAAAGCCGTTCAAAAAGTCACTATTCCGCTCTTAGATCCTGTACACCACAGGACATCGATTTTACATCAATATCCCCACGTATTATCAAAGTTCCCATAAAAAATGGCACTAACTCACCTAAATCTGAAGTGTTTTGATTATATCCCATAAATCCACAGCTAATCATCATGTTCCCATCATTTTCCCTGTATCTTCATTATGAACATGGCAATTTCTATTGGGTATTCCTCATTGACGCGGAAACACATCCACCAACGGACGGAAGGTCTCCGACAGACTTTTCACCTTTGGGTGACTTTGCGCCGTGTTTGTGGGAGTCAACCTGGAGATTCTACCCTCTGGTTGTGACTAACATAGCCATGGTATAGATGGCCCATAGAAATAGATGGTTTACCTGTTAAAAATGGTGATTTTCCATGGCTATGTAACAAAGAACCAGATGGTAATTGAAAAGCCAACAACAAATGGTGATTTATGCGAACATGGGCTTTCACCAGCAAAAATTGGACATGTTTTGAGCATGAAAAACTGCATTCCAATTCTGGGACCTTCAACCAACTGGTTTCTTTTTGAATCTGGTCATGTTTTCAAACAGGACCCCCTACCATTCCAGTTGACGCTTAAGGCGAACAAAAATCAGCGCAAATTCTTAAGTCAAAAGCGTCAGCAAATCAGCAGCTGTACTTGGATGTGCATCCATGTCAGTTCATCAGCAAGTGATGTACACTAACTGCAGTTTCATCCCACACATAACTGGGATGCACCAAGTAGATCCAAGTAGGAGGTCTGGTCTGATGAAAACCTTCGTTGCGATCGAAGCTTTGGGCTTAAGTGTGGCGCAGAGAAAAGCCGCAAAGGACTGGGCTGCCAAGTTCTGTGAGCAGAAAATTCGGAGGTTTCCGTTTCGTCATGGGGGTACCCCCAAATCGTCGAAGTCACGGATGACCAAACTAATTGAAACAACCATGGTGACTTGGAGATTCCCTTTTTAGGAGACCCACCGATGTTGTTTCTTTTGTGGCAACGCATGAATTTCGCCCATCTTCATCACTGGATGCTAGGCTAGGGGTTGGGAAATGCTGGTCATGTCCAGATTTGCAATCCCAAATCTTGATAGCCCATTCCACATGTTTCCTCGGTCTTTTTTTCAGCCGCTTAAACCATCTTTTCTTGGGCTTTTGGTCAAGACTCCCAGGGCTCATTTGGAATAACTTACCGGAAGATCTTCACCGGTATTTCCACGGTGTGTCCATGGGTTTTTCCCCTTTCAACCCTAAGATATGGAGGTTTCAAACCGGAAAAATCCATCCTACGACGCCCCTTGGTGGCGCCAGTTGCGCAGGACGCCACCATGGGGAAGAAGAAGACCGAAGCCGAGGCTCCGAAAGTTGAGGCGGGAACTTCTCTGTTGAAGCTGTGATGTGGGGGATTTTCCAGCATCCAACCAGTAGGGATTTTGCTATGAACTTTTGAAAATGAAGGATAGAATGGGATAGAATGGGATAGAATGGGATAGAATGGGATAGAATATCAAAGCAACAATGGAAATGGGTGTTGTCTGAAAATGGGGCATTCACCCCCAGTAGATGGACATGTTAGACAATATGATAATCCAAACCAGGATCTTGAGGGTGTCTCACTTTTTCTCAGGAGCCAAAAAAGGATGACACAAATCACGAGGAGGAAGACGAACCTTTGGTCAAGGCCAGTGGGACACCATGGCATCGTGTGACCTGCCACCCCTCATTGCAAACTTGAAGGCTTTTTGGGTAGGTTCTGAAACTGGATGAAACTCCAACACTCAATGATGATTTTCCGTAACCATGCGTCAAGCTTTGCTCCGCTCGGCTTTGCGGCTTTCGGATGTCGAAGGCACTTTGGCTTCGGATGTGCCCGCTGGACGGATCCAGAAACTTTGTGTCGCTTGAGTGCTGCCAAGGGGCTGCAGAAAGGTGGAAGTGATGAGCATTGGAGAATTTTGGCTTCTAGCCTTGTGCGCCCGCTGGCAGATACGGATCTTGTGCCGTTCGCTCTTTCCTGCAGGGTGGATGGAAGATGCCATGAAGACCAAAGTTATCAAGGTGTACTTTCCAGTGTTTCAGGGCGACGTATTCGGACTTTGGAAGCATTAAAGCGCTGTGGGAAGAAAAGTTGCCTGAAGTCTTAGAGAGCTTGCTGCCAGGAGTAGGAGAGAAAGATCTTGAAGAAGTGGAAGACTCATTGGGATGTCAACTTCCAGAGGACTTGGCAGAGAGCTTGAGGGTGCACGAAGGGATGAGAGAATCTGGAGGAAGAAAAGGGCAATTGCTCCTTGAAGAGGAGAGGGAGGACCCCTAATCTTTTCCACTGTGCGCCTTCGTCCCATTCGTGAAATTCCAGACCTTGTGGAGAAGGAGAGATGCAATGTCGATGCGAGATTCCCAGGAGAGTTTAGTCGCGACACAGCCCTAAGACCAAATTTCGAAGGTATGGAGTTGACTTCCATTGCCTACATTGAGCAAAAGTGGAAGAGATATGAAGAGATGGACACCCAACTTTCATCAACTTTCACGACTGGTTGCCGCTGTTTGCCGAAGGCCTTGCCGAAGGCCGCCTCTCTGGATGGTCTCGAGGACGATCGGAGAATGTTCTCCTGCCTTTTCCGCCTGGTTGGAGGACCAGCTGGTCCACCGCTTCAGGCATGCTCCAGGAGCATGGTTGAAGTGGTGGACCAGCTGGACCGGCTGGACGGGGATCACCACCTCGCCGAGCACGGACAGTGCCAGGTCATCCTGATGATCTTAGTCCTGGTAAGGTGGACTACCTGATGAGCCATGGCTTTTGTGGGCCAACGTACTATTGTCATTGCAGCTCGTTTGAGGAATGGTTGGAGGAAAACCTTGACATGCTCCGAACCATTCATCTCGCCTCACAAGATTGCCTTGATTGTTCCAAGGAGTGGCAAGGCTGGCATTGCAACACATGCTGAAGGATTGTGGGAGAGTCCCTTGCTGCATTGGATCGTGTTCTTCCAGTTGGCCTTGACAGTTGTCCCTTTGTGTGGTCGTCTGCCGTGAGATCCCATGGCTGGGCTAGGAAATTTGTGAAAAAGTGCAGGCGATATTGAGAGAATCTGATGGCTGAGGCCTACTGTACAGACGTGTTGAACTTCTTTGTGACTGAGATTAGGATGGACAGTCAATGTGTTGAGCCCAATTTGGCATGCTGAGGCAAGGGAGTCGAAAGAAGATCCGCGCCAAACTCCAACATCGCTGTAACATATGTACCATCGGGGAATCAAACATGGCAACGGTTGAACCCCTTTCAATGAACACAAAAAGATGAGGACATCGATCCAATAAATGTGGGATTTTCCAGCAAACCATATGACTGATGACTTCCTAGCTCCAGGAGTTGAAGGATTTGGACGACCAATACCTGGCCATCGAGAAGGAATACGAGAAAGCCGTGCAGGTGCCCTGAAAGAGTTGGGCGATCGGCGATCGGGTGCTGCCCCATAGTTAGCTTAGTTGGCTTAGTTGGATCATAAGCACATAACCGAGGAGAACTAAGGTACATGGTAGATATATCGAAGTAGCTGAGGGGTTTAACATGGTTTAACTGTCCAGCCACCTTGTACTAGTTGGGCTTCAAATCCTTTTTTGATGTGCCCCGCAAAAAGCCCGCCCTTTGTCAGAAAGGCAACCAGGGTTTGGGTACTTTTGGGCGCCCCTAAATCGCCAACAATGGCTGTGAGTTGGGGGTAGATCACCTCTTTTCAGACACACCCAAAATACCCGAAATATCCCCAAATCATATTGTTGGTTATATATATAATATACGTATATATACGTATAAATTATATATATATATCCCATTGCAACATATCACCATTTATAGATGATTTTCCCCCTGTCCACCATTCCGAATGGTCTCTGACCACCGATCCACCGCGCACGCGGCGCGCTTGCGCGAGGAGCTGCAGAAGCAGTATACCCAAAAGCAGCAGCCTTTCCTGGATGCCAGGACCAGCGCCGCAGCTCCGAATCGGCTCCCAAGATAGATGGGATGGTGATGGTATAGATGGGTTTATATACCGTTTATATTAAAGATTATATAAGTTTAAATTAAAGTGGGTTCCATTTTGATAGATATCTGTGATTCAATCGATAATCGATTGGTTCATTGGAAGATCTCCAATGTTTTTAGCTGTGGTTTTTCTCTTGAACCAGTTTTAAGATTGATGATTTGCCTAGCAAGTCTATCAAGGACTTTTCCAGCCTGTCAGGGTTCGTGTACTGGAGGGTGCTCTCATAGTTTGGCGGATGGTCAGGCAAAGGCTGTCATTGCTGTTGCTGTTCGCAGATCGGAACCTTTAATTTGCATGGTATTTTGCATGGTATTTGCAGTGCGTTGGAATTACACACGCTGTCTCACTTGCATGGCACTGACATGGTATTAATATGCAGCTTCCCATTTCTGCGATATTTGCGTCACAGCCGAATGTGGCGGGACACTTCTGATCTCCAAAAGTGAGGAACCACCCATGAACTTTCGCGACATGCCTTAATAAATCTTAATACCCAGATGTGTTAAAAAAATGATTTAAAACACCTCCCAAACATGATTAAAGAATGATTCAAAGCTGATTTAAGCCCCTGATTCATTTCTTCCCCAGCACCATCCAGGACAAAGGTACTGCAAAGCCTGGAAACAGCACCAGAGGAGGTCTTGGGACTCGGGACGTGCGATTTTCTTTGCCCTATCATGCCCTATCCATATGGGTTTCTGGCGAAAATTGCCATGGGGTACCTCAAAATCCCGCGGTTTGTCGTTTATGTTTATGATCAATTTCCCAAGCAGTTTTTGAGAATTCTTGGGTTCCATTTCCGGACAAAGCCATAGGTATACTAGATGGCTATGTACAAAATGTACTAGTGGTGATTTGGGTTGTAGGTGGGTGGTACAGGTAGCCAGCCAAAAAATAGAGATTGAAGTTGTGAAACAAGACATGTGGATATTGCTGGCCAAAACTAGGCGAATTTCGCACAACTGAAGCACAGTTCGACTCTTGTGAACTGCTCATTGGCAAATTGGAGGCCAAAGACAAAGGAACTCCTGCCCTGAAGGATTTTTGGAAGCAGGTGCAGTCACTATCAGCCTCTGGGGTGGCTGTAGAGGTTGCAGGTGAAGTTGCAGTGTTTGGGGGTTCACGTGGAGCTGCATCTGGTTGGTGTTTTCAAATGTCTTATGATTTTCAACCGTATTTGAGATAAGGATCCAGGATGACTTTCATATTTTTCAGGGGGGTGGCTTCACCACCAACCACTGCATGCAACGTTCTCGATGCTTCAATCCCGATTTCTAGTGGATTCATGTTGGATGAAATCTTAAACAGCTAGAAAAATATAGAAATATAACATATAACTAGTTATGAATAGCTCATTCATTGATACATGAAATAAAAATTAGCTAATTCATGCCGACACCGGCAGAAACCATGGCGACACAAAAGCGGTTCTTCACGCCTACGGGCCCCCGCTATGCAGCGACGAGGCCATGAAGAATCTGCCTGCACTTGAAGACCATATCGAGGCGCAACGCGTGTTTCGCTGGAGTCGATGGAGATTTGAGTGAGTGAATCATATACCCTCTGGTTATGTCAAAATAGCTATTGAAAATGACCATATATAGTGGATTTTCCCATAAAAAATGGTGATTTTCCATAGCTATGTTAAATTACCAGAGGGTACCACAGATAGTTATGCAAAACACAGCATAAATCTGATTCTTCAGAAAAGTGGTAGATATTTCCAGCATAAATCTGCATTGTAGAGGTGACTGTAGTTGGCCCATGTTGGACCACACTCTGGGGACACGTCTTGTCCCTTCATCTTGCACAGGAGTGGGATGAGCCGGTGCTGGAGTACTGTGGGATGTCTCAGCGGTGATTTTTCACCCATGTTTACACGTGGCAATGTGACTTGCCACCATAGTGCTACTTTAATGTTCAACACTATTCACCAATCATCAACATAAAAATCCACAATGGCACTTGTTTTATATAGCACGAAGCTCTTAACTTTGTCAGTTTGCAATATGTTGAAACCACCAAAATGTCACTGTTTTTTGCAAGACACTCTTGAATTTGTGATGTCATGTGATCTCACCAGTTTTGGTATAGTAGCTACTGGCCCGGCCCCAAAGACGGAGACACTGGCCACCACTGGCCCATATTTGGTATCATGCTTGGGTTCCAGTTATGAAGGGTGAAACCTGGTGACAACCGTTTTTTCGATTTCAGAGTTGTTTCAAATTCATTCCGGTCTTGGCGGTCATCCTTTTTTTGGCAACATATTTTTGCTGACAAATCACATCCTGTTTGTTGCTCCGATATCACATTTTCGTCACGCATTTTTGGCATCTGGTTCAGAATATCCTCAAAAATCCAATTTTTCCGCGGGAAATCCCACATTCTTGGAGGTCAATACTCATCAATCATAATACTGTACATAATCATCAACAACAATAGTCAACAATTCTTCAGTTATCATCAATAACCATCAACAATTCTTCTATAATCATCAATCATCATCAATAATTCTTTCTATAATCATCAATCATCATCACTCATCATCAAAAATCCACATATTCCATATATTTCCTGTTGCGTCTTCTCTCCCCCCATCTTTGACCCCACCGTGCTCCCGTAACGGGCCCTCCACGCGGTCTCCGCGGGCCAAGGCAAAGATATCACCAAGTCCTGGCTTGACGAGTCGGAGCGGCGTTGCTGGCTGGCCATGGAAGCATCCCAGTTATGGTTATGATCATGGCATTTTCACTATAGTACTAATGATATTAACCATAACATACCATAACTACTACTAGGTAACAATATTATTTAGTTTCACTGGGTTATTGATATTATGGTTATTAATTTTAATGATATTGTTAATGATACTGGTTTGCAGAATTGTCTAATAGTATTGGAATAATAGGGATGTTGAGGATGTTCATAATATTATATATACAATAATAATGTTTTTTAACTATTATTATAGGACTATGATAATGGTTTTCTTTTTCATAATGATGTTATGGGTTTATCATTATAGTCTGTATTAACCATAATTAACCATAATGGTATGCTTATAGTATCTTGTAGTTATGATAATGATAATCCCAAGTGATTTTAACAAATGCTGCTAACCATCCCATACCCAGATCTACTTGATTGTTTCTTAGTCGTCAAGGGAGATACCCAAGCTCGCTGGATGTTTTTTTTGAGGTAAAATCCTAAAATGCATGGCGAACAGGGGTTTCCCTATTCTAAAACAGCTACAAATGGCTTAGTGAACCCAATGCCATAAACAACTACCATTTGGGGATGGTAAACGCAGCAACCATATAAACATGGTGATGACTTGGGGATTGTTCGTGACATTGGGTTTACATGGGTTTGCCACATTATTATGGCTACTTGGATCCTAGCCACTAATCGATGGGAATACACGGGGTTGATCGATAAGTGGTTTATAAGCCTAGTGAGTCCCCACTGAATGTAGGGTCCCATTTATGAACTGGGGGTGTCAGGTCTCCCCACTTAATCTACAGGAGGAGGGTAGAAAACCTGATGAACGGAACTCCGGCTTTAAAACACTGAAGGGGCGACAGATGGAGGAAATGATTGTACCAGTTGGATTGAAGCAGTCCTTGTGGCGGGAGTCTTTTTGGTAAGCCATTGATTGCAGAAAAGTGGAGACATCCAACTGCCCCTATTAAGTAGCCATAATTTAATTGAGCCTCATTGGTGGTAAATCCATGTAACTCACCCATTTCAGACACTATAATTCACCATCAACAAGGATGGGAATGTTAGGAATAAACCCAAGAATGTAAGCAAACACACACACAGACACACACATAAATATGTGTGTATATATTGGTTGGTTGTTTGGAACATGAATTTTATTTTCCATATATTGGGAATGTCATATTCCCAACTGACGAACTCATTTTTTTCAGAGGGGTAGGTATACCACCAACCATACATATATATATGTATATATATATGTGTATATATAATGGTTGATAGTTAATTGTTGACAGTTAATGGTTAATATCATGGTTAATATCCGGTTATATATATATCACATCAACAAAAGCAACAAGGGCATCTTTGCCATCGATCTCCCCCCATGATTTCGCCAGGACTTGGCCAAGGGCTTCAGATTGCATTTCCACTTTGTGGAGAACCCTTACTTCACCAACACCGAGTTGTCCAAGGAGTCCGAGCTGTGATATATATATATATATGGAGGGGTTTATAACTTATAACATTTTTAAAAACTAATTCAATTATGGGAATAACATGGGACTTTTATGGATTCATATAATCCGACTTGATATTTGGTATCCGAGAAACGGCCATGAGAAACAAGGAAAATGATGACAAACCAATGAATATTTAGGGGTATCCTACAGTAGTTGAAGACACACCTGATGCTGTGCCATTTGGGAAAGTGAGGGGAATGATGCGCAGAATGGCCTTCATGAGGAAATCAAAATTATGAAGAAAATACCAGGTACTCTGCTGGAAACTAGGGAAACACCAAAACGTTGGATAGTTGATGTGCCGCGCACAAAGAACCCCAGGAGCTTAGAGGATTTCAGGGTCACAGACTCCTAGAAAAATCATCTTTTTTACATTTTATTGGGGGTTATTGAATCATCAGATCAGTTGGTTGCCAGTGATTAAAACAACTAGTGCAATCGGCAATACGGTGAGGGGCTCTTTGTTTTTGACATGTCAACAAGACAGACATGGGGCAAGCAACAACCCCTATCACAACTTTTAAGTGGTGCATTTGTTTTTCCCATGTTTCGATGAACTTTTTCCAAGTCGAGGCTTGAGCCAATTATTTTAGCGTTGATGATCGTTGATGGCAGGAGTACTATGTGAAGGAAGAGAACCCATACACAGGGGAGATGAGTGCCAAAGAGATCAAGGCAATGGGAATAGCAAGGGCCCTGCCACTGGGGACCTCCTGGGGACCCCTCCCGGACGATGGGCCCTGGGGCTCTGGTTGAGGCCACCATCATTGAGTGGAAACCTGGGAAGGATGTGACCGTGGAAAAGGTCGGTGTGCGGAGAGAGTGGTGACAGCCCCTTGTTAGGGGTCTATTCCGTTGAAGTGAAACTTCACCACCAATAGTGATGATATATGATGATATATGATGATATATGATGATATATGATGATATATGATGATATATGATGATATATGATGATATATGATGATATATGATGATATATGATGATATATGATAATATATGATGATATATGATGATATATGATGATATATGATGATATATGATGATATATGATGATATATGATGATATATGATGATATATGATGATATATGATGATATATGATGATATATGATGATATATGATATATATATATATTAGATACATATTAGATCATAATATATAGGTCATATTAGTTACATTTAGATACTCCATTTTCGGCAATTCCATCAGTTCCATCTCCGCCTAGCCTCGCCTTCGGAACATTTTTCAGGTGACCAAGAAGGTCAAGGGTGGAGGTGCCAAGAAGGCCAAGCAGAAGGGCAAGGCCGAGCACCGATGTTCCAATTCTTTCCATCGAACTGGAGGTGTTTTCTTAACACCTGTGATTTTCCCATCGGGGGATAAGCCATCCACTACATGGCTTGATTTTGCTCAGGGTGAACTTATACATGGTGTATAAATATATATATAAATACTGATTCATACTAGTAGACCCTGAAGATAAGATCCCAAGTGGCCTCGCATCTTGGGCTGTGACTGAAGCAGTCAACGAACATCTTTGGATGGAATTTATTGATCTAATTGATGATATTTATGCATTGTTTCAGTGATGGAGTGGCGATATGAATCACATTGAATCACAATGAAGCACTCCTAAAATTTCTGAGGTTTAACGATGGTTTAACCTGTCTAGGACATACTGGACCTTGTTTTAATACAGTGCGCCGACAGAAATCCGCAGTTCCGTGCCTTCTTTTTTTTTTTTCGGACAAAGTTTCCACACACCCCAGGCTACGAAATTCGCCGGGAGTTTTTCTTGCAGATTTTCTCGGGAATTATTTTCAGAAACCTATCCTCAAAAGTACTGCGGCAGCATGCAAGCAAGCAAGCAGGGAGGGAGGGGAGGGGCAGCCAGCCAGCAGCCAGCACGCGAGCAAGCAAGCATGCCCAACCCAATCCGAAATACACACCCTGAACCTACCCTAAATAAACCCTAAGCCATCCTTAAATAATTTAGATAAACAATTTGATACAATTTCAGCCAACCTTAAACAAACGCCCTAATCCAACCCGAAATTAACCCGAAATATTACAAACCAACAATAAATAAACACCCTAAATCGAACGTAAACCAACCCCAAATAAACACCCAACACCCTTAAATAGCATTACAGAAACCCAACAAGAACAGCTTAAATCTTCAAACCAGGCCAAAATAAATTTAAGCAAACCCCGAAGAAACCCTAAACGTACCTCAAAAAACATCATAAACCAAATTGGACTAAAGCCTACCAAGCCTAAATAATCTGCAAACCAACCCCACATAAACCATCAACCAGCCTGAAAGAAAAACCATACAGTAAACCAAACCTGAATCAAGCCTAAACCAGCCCTAAACAAGCCCCAAAGAAAGCTTCAAAGAAACACCAAACAAACCAACCCCAAATACTTTCAAACCAACAAAAAGCACTTTAAAACAACCCCCAAACCTAAGCCAATTCCAAATAAATCCCAAATCAAATAAGTCTTAAACCAACCCGAAAAAAACACCATAAACCAGCCAAGAGGCACCTTAAATCCTTGAACCAATCACAGCTGAACCATGAACTCCAACCATAAAAACACATCTTAAACGAAGCCTAAATCAGACCTAAACCAACTTCAAATAATCACCCTAAGCCCTCTAAGGAACATTAACACTACATCAAAGAAACCCTCAAAGAAACATTAAAGAGACCTTTTAAGACATTGAAATCTTTAAAGCAGCTTTAAAAATTCGAAACAGGCGGCGGCTACAAAAGTCAATTGGGCAGGTAGGATTGCAATAATTAGATACATAATCGACCCAGGGAGGAGTCGAACCTCCACATTCCGTGCTCGTCAAACATGTGCTGCTCCAAAAGAGGTAACAGCTCGCAAAGTCGACGCCTTATCCAGATGGCAACTGGGTCCTTACCATTGGAAAATTAGCTTCTTCCCTTTATATAATCTGAGGTGCACCCAAGGGAAAATTGATGCTCTATCTACAACTAGAACAGATGCGCTTTGAATAAGCATTCCAAACCAAACCTTAGCCGACAATAAAACCATCCAAAAAGCCACTTAAATCTTGAAACTAACCCTGAATAACCCTCAAACTCAAACCACCACTAATGATGACAAAAACAACCTTACATAAAGAGATCTCAAACCAAACATGTATAAACAAGAAATCTACACCAAATAAACACCCAACAAACGCCACCTAGACTTTAAGCCTGCCAAGGAAAACCTACAACAAACCTTAAATCAACCCTCAGCAAACCCTAAACTAACCCTGAAGCAACCCTAAATAAACACCATTTCTGCATCCAAAATAAGCCATCATCAAACCTTTAGATGAACCTTAAACCTGGCATATGCATTGGGGGAGGTTTGCACAGCCTCCTATAGGTTGGTGGTTGGTAAATCTGAAACAAATCCCTGGTGGAACCTGTACCCTAGGATACCCTAGGTATATTTGATGGTCAACATGTGTAAAAAATATATGGTTTTCTGGTCTTAGTTGTAGATACTCCAGTTATTTCCTGCACCCTGTCTGGTGAGGAGAAGGAGGAACCCAGGGACTCCTTCTTCCGTGGCTTCTTTCGTCCTCATCTCAGTCACCCGGGTGCCCGGGGTGCCCGGGGTGCCCGGGTGCCCGGTTCCAGATCCGATGTTCGAAGCTTCGAAGCCACTAAGGCAACCTGAAAGAAGGTGGACATATCCCGGATGTCAGGGCCCCACAGACAGGGATGGGATGATGATGACACCTTTAAGATGAGCACCTGAACCAGTGAGTCACCTGAGGATATCAACTTGGAGGAAGCCAGAGAGTTGGTGGATGACGTGCCCTGACGAATCGAGTTTTTGCAAAGCGTTTAGACGAATCGTGGTGTCATCCCCTACATCCATCATGGTTTCTGGGAGGTGTGGGCTGAACGGGGAAGGGATTATGGGTCATGGAGTCATGGGTCAAATATACATTGACCATCATTGACCCATTGAGCCCCAAAGTTGATGATTTAGTTGGTATTCATTTCTTCCTTTTCTCCACTGGAGAAATGAAGTGGGTTTTGTTTTGTTCAAAATATGGGGGGATTTGGCTCAAACATACTGCAAGTGTCGATGGGAATAACTATGCTCAATCATTGGATGGAATGGGGATTCCATAGAGGCTGGTCAAACCAGCCTTCTTTTTTGTGGGAGGAGGAATTTTTGAGTCATACTTGTCCCGTTGTAGCAAGAGGGAAGAACCACTCCCCATACCTTCCATGTATGGTACATTTACATACATTTACATGTACATACATTTACTATCATTCACCATCATTTTTACCTCACATCAGGATATTTGTTGGGCAACTGTTTAGATATGGTAGACCGTACAGATGACCAGGGATTTGTTCAGTACACCTTGCTTCCATCTACCGAAAAATCAGGGGTTCTGTTGTCCATGGAACAAGATTTGCCATTTAAAAGAACGAATTCAACGACAAAAAACTGGACATTGAATAGAATTGAAGCGATTTTTCACAGTTTAACCAGTTTAATCATCAATAATCAAGCTGAATCAGTTTACAACTCGCAGCTGAGGACGATGAGGACGATGACGAGCACATGCTCGAGCTGCTGATGGAGCCTCGACGAGTCGAACATTTTTTGGAACATCAATTACTGTTTTGTTCTGAATATTGCCAAAGATTAAGATCCATATTATCCATATTTGTTTTTTTCAAACAGGACTGACTAAATAGTATTGGCAACCCAAACTTGTCTTGACAACAAGCTTGAAAATTAGTAGATCCATGCCTGCAGCAAGCCATGAGGATTGGCAACATATGGATATGCGCCCTCTTTAGGGACATACAGTTCGTTTGAATATTTAACAGATTGATTAAACAGTAAACAGTAATTCTCAAATGAACTGTAGCTATATAAATATGCATTGAACTATTCCACTTGCAGTTAATTGGGACATACATATATTTTCCTGGAAGTCTCAATTATACAACTATTTAAGACTTGAAGCAAAGATTTGCTTGCAGACCTGATATGATATACAGTTGACCCCAAGAGTTGGACGAGGTTTGGCTGGCTGGAAATGGATGAACATATTGCTACCCTCATAAGAAAAGAAAGCTCCATATTAGTTAAATACTACAAGTGACCAACCCCCTTGGCTGCGCAACCATGCAAAAACTGGAAATTTGCTGAGGAGAACGACTACGAGATGGGTTGCTGCGCAGCTTGCCTTGGAAATGGTCTGATGGACGTGTTCCAAGTGGCAGCGGACAACGACCTGGGTCCAAGACAGATCCAATGTTCAGACAGACCGTCACCCGTGATGCCGGGATATTTCAGTACGGAACCATCCCTCATTTTGTCCCAATTTGTGGATGCACTCTTATCTACTTGGACATTGGTGTTTCACTGGACAGAGTTCCTGGCCAGGGCTTAAAAGGTAGACCCGCTCAAGGTGTAATCCCCTTGTGTCAAAATATGCTGGAACTCGAGCAGTTTGTCACTCCTCGAGCACCATGAAAATAGGGAATCATATGGAATCATGGCAATGCCCACTCATCATCAGCGATGCACTAAGTTGGCAACCCCAAAGACCGCCAAGAAATCAGCTACCTGAGGTTTAAATATGGCAATGGAACATGACCCTCTGGTAAACTTACATAACTATGGAAAATCACCATTTTCAATGGGAAAATCCACTATAAATGGTCATTTTCAATAGCTATGTTAAATTACCAGAGGGTACCTTTCCCACCTATAAACCTCCATTTCGTTCGGGCATTTCCCAGCCATGTTGATCGCCCAGATCAGAGACAGCCTCGTGCCCTTCGCAATACGCTGGTACACCGGGGAGGCTTGTCCAGACGACGGCTACGACGAGGTCGCCCGGCCCCGAGTAGTTGGTGCGTAATACTCCGGACCGTTGGTGTTTTATGGTTGGTTCATAAAGCCCATCAACTATAGTTCCATATTATTATATAATTTATTATATCTACGTACCATAAGCCATAGTATGCCATAGTTTTCTTAGTAACCAACTTGGCCCTCCTCTTTAGGGGCACCACCTTGTATTCTCCCAGCTTGAAATTCACAGGACGATGATGAAGAGGAGGATTCCGAAGAAGAGGACGATGACGACGATGACGACGACGATGACTCGCCTCCCAAGGGAAAGAAGTACCACCCGCCGGCAAGAGGGAAGGCGCTATTGGAGTGGTTGGTGCTTCTTAGATCTTCTTAGTACATCTGAGCAGCATTAGTTTTCACACTGGTTTGACTATTTTGGTATGGTGAAAGATAGTTTTGGATAATCTTTAGTACCACTGATTTTGGAGGGTTTGTCCAGCACTGATGCTCGAAATGGCCGACAATTGTCGGGCAAGTGATGATCAACCATGGGATGGAATGGGGTACTCTGTCAATCAAGCCCAGATTTTCGGATTTTTATATAGTTTTGATCCTCCATCCTGATACTTGGTATGAAGATCTCCAATTAACTCGTATATTTTCGCTGACAGCCACGTTACAAAGTCTGAAGCGTAAGTGAAGTTGGGTCGTTGTCTTCCGGTAGAGCTCACACTTGGCACCCCAAAAAATGGCGAAAAATCTCAGTTGACCTCTGGAAGCTTTCTTAGGTTTTTATCGGCTTCGACCATCGTTTTTGGGTCATTAGTCATTTCTACCAACAAGAACATCCTTTTGAACAAACCGATTGACCTTCAAAAACAGCACATAGAAACCATAGCATCCATACCATCCATACCTGGATTCGGTTTCAACAACGTCATGGCCTGGGATCCAATACGTAGGCTGGCAAGAAAGATGCCCCTGGCGGCGAGGTGCCCGACGCGGCCGTGGCGGTGAGAGGGCTGCAATTTTTGCCCAACAGATGACATGGGAAAATGCCATCAATGTGGATTGAATCACCCCACACAGTTTTTTTTTTTTAAGATAAGGAATTGACATGAATTGACCATCAATCATGTGGATGAAAAAAAAGGCCCATTGGGATTTTAACATATTTTAACCTCAGAGATCAAAGATACCTGGATGCTCATGATGCCAGGATGATTCATCCCCAGGGACCCGAAACACACGACTTCTGACTTTGGCTATACTCGATTTGGACCCCGTTAAAGTTGCGTTTTCGATCTCGTGGATGTAGTTCCTCTGAACGTGTCTCCTTTGCTGTGTGAAGGAGACAAAAAGTGCTGTACACAACTTCGAAGCCCTGTGATGAATCACGAAAAATGTTTTTTGAAGATGAGCTTCCTATAATATCTATAGTCTATGAGTCTATAGTGGTTTCATAGTACGACATAGCAATTTCTTGATTCGTTAGATCAAACACAGTGGAGGTCTTTAGACAAGAACACCGAAGGATGGTGAAAAAACTTACACCACCTGATAAGAAGGAGCAGCGTGCCGTTCCTGTTTTCCTAACGATCTCCAGGCAAAGGAGGAATGCAAACAACAATAGGCGGTCCGTGAACAGCTGCGGTCCGGGCTTGGAAGAGTTTTCGGTGGCGGGACATGCATGAAGAAACATCACGATTTTATGGCTCTTACATCTGAATCAAATACAGGATTGTATAAATAACTATTGTATAATATTGTATACATTTTCAATCTCTTGGGTTTCATGATATGTCTACTCGCAAGATTCTCTTCAACTTGCCCGTTTCGGCCAGTTTCATCGTCAAGCACGCAGAGAAACGAAAGTCGAGAGGGCCCGTTTACGTACCGTGCGGAAGCGGCCAAGCGAAGCATCAAGAATTGTTGACGCTCGGTTCTGGTCAAATGGGTACGTCTCAATGAGATTCAGAACTTCAGAGAACGAAGCTGGTTCACTGCAGAAAAATGAGCACAGTTTTCGTTCGATGTTTCTACGAATCAGAGTGGTCAGAGATTGGAAGTGTTGGACTTGTGCCCACATTGAGACACCCAGAGGGTGGACCATGAGCTGAATTCTTGTTGCACACACCAGGGGTCCACAGCTCTAGTCACTCTAGTCCTCATTGGGCTGATTCAAGTCATGCCCTCTGGTAAAAGTTTACATAACTATGGAAAATCACCATGTTTAACGGGAAAACTCACTATTTCTATGGCGATTTTCAATAGCTTTTTGTATGTTTACCATTGTTTACCAGGGTATCCATAACATTCCCTGAACTGGAAAACTCACCACGGATTCGGCGATTCGGCGAGTCATTCCCAAACCATGTTACAGCTTCTCCTGGCAGTTCTTCTCTAACCCTATGGTCTCTTTGGTTCTCTTGGTTAACGTAGTGATTTTCTTGGTGAAAGTGACATTCCAACTTATAGTATGTTGCTGTCCATCACCATTTTGGGTGGTGAACAAATGTTTGGGTGTAGCAACCCTACTGAAGCAGTGACCCGAAACATCTGACCCCGACTTTTCCCGGGTGAATTGCTTGGTGCCAGCTGCTAGTGGTGCATTGCGGTGTGCCGAGGCTTTGAGAGCGAAAATCATGCTTTTAGTGGGGGGTTTGGCATCCCAAAAACAACACCAAACATGGGAAGTTTATCCAGAAACAATGGCAAGTTTGCATGTTTTTGCATCATTTTGCAATTTTACCAACAGCATTGGAAATGTTGGGCGAAAATTGCGACTGGCCCACCGATCCTTCAAAGGTAGCTGATATCACATAGTGAACATGATGAAAGGCACATCCAGAAAGCTATCAATAGTTGCCTCAAACATTTTCCAATTCCAACTTATTCGGACAGGTCACTAGTTGGCAAGGCATGGAGAGCCTACAGAGTCGAAGAAAGATATCCTGAATGATATGACCAAGAAGTCAAGAGAATTCGGGAGATATTTTACATCCTTCAAGAGCACGATAGATGGAATAGGAATGAATAGGAAACCCTTGAAAGCCGATTCAAGGTGGCAGGCTAAGCCTTTTTCTTGGGAGGGAGGCTCACACTACTTAGTTGTTGGCATGGTAAGCCCACTCCATCGATCTGCCCTTTTGCCATGTCACGAGTACCACAAAGTCACGGGCACTCCGAGTTGTGAGGATGGGGTCGCTTGCGAGCGGAAATGTACCTCGTCTCCCGCGGAAAATTCTGTGGATTCCGAAAAATTTAGAATGGCTTGAGCTTCCAGCACCAATGTCTTGAAACCAACAAGTCACACCTTGACATGTCTTGACCAAAGACACCCAAAGATTCTAAGCTCTTGCCGTTTGGGGATCCTGCTGTGGCTCACAGCGTGTTCATAGCTAAGTCCGCAGCTTTTGGCTGTCTCAAATGTGGTGAAAACATGTCAAGCGGCAAAGTCTACGGGCTTTGGGGATGTATTCCAATGACAATGTACCCTCTGGTTAACATAGCCATGGAAAATGGCCCATTTATAGATGTTTTTCCCATTAACACCTCAACTTATAAGGGATTTTCCAGTTCGCTATGTTAAATAACCAGATGGTATATCAATGCAGTTCATGTATGTTCATGTCATTTCAGTGTAGCACGGTTGACTTTGAAGTTTGGTTGATACCTTTCATCGAAAGAACATCACTTTTTTGTCCCAGAAGTGGTTTACACAAAGGACACGTTACAATATAACCCCCCATTGGTACAAGGTGAGGCCCCCTAAGTAGCAGTAAGTAGCTAAGTTGGGTTATAAGTTATAAGTTATAACTCCAATTTCACTCGAGTTTATGGTGTGTTTAGCTATAGTTCCTGGGATTTATAGTTGGTAGAAGAGGTCTTTCCTCAAAGCTTGCACCAGCCAGGTGGAGCGACATCGTTGCGGCAAACATTGCGACCTTCTGGACATCTGGGAGATATCTACTCACCTCCATTAGTTGGGACATAGGACTCCTATATACGCTAACGACATTTTAAATATGTGGAGGGCGGGCCAGTTTTAGAATCCGTATATTTAAACATAGATACCGAAAAAAAAAAAACTATGGTGAAACCGGTGCAACATCACACATCATTCGCAGCTAAGTCACATACTGGACCATCGCTAGGAGAAAGCACTTGGAGGTCGCCAGGCGATGTTGGAGGCCAACGGTGACGTCGACTGGGGATCCCCCATGGTAGAAAGCCATATGGGGGTACCCCTAGTTATCATCCATTTTAGATTGGGATTTTCCATGACATAAACATATATATATATATAAACCATCAATAAAATGGGTACCTCCATTTATGGAACCCCCATTTTTTTGAAGAATTTAAGCGACGTTATTTCCTCTATAGCTGCATGTACCGCAAATCCAATGCATCTATTCAATATTATTCAATGGGGTCCCAGGATCATGACCACAAGATACAATGGGTCACTCGTGACGAGCTTTGGACTCGGGTCACTAACCTATATATTGTTACGACTTAAGTTATCCAACTTCAGCTATGATATTTATGTATTATTGTAATATAATTGGAATATAATATATTATATACATATATTACTTACCCTCTGGTTATTTAACATAGCCATGGAAAATGGCCCATTTATAGTTGGTTTACCTATTAAGAATGGTGATTTTCCATGGCTATGTAACAAATAACCAGAGGGTATATATAACTATACCATAAGCTGTTATTTTTCGAACAGGGAGCTGCCACATGTCCCCAGTTTTTAGGAAGACATGACCTGCATCGAAGCTGGAGGCCCAGGGCGTGCGGACGTTGATGACGCTGTGGCGACTTGGGGCGCTTGGCAGAGCGTTCGGATCCCAGCGATGGGAGAAGCCACCAGTCTCTTTGGTTACCCTCTGGTAATTTGTTACATAGCTATTGAAAACGGCCATTTATAGTGGATTTTCCCATTAAAAATGGTGGTTTTCCATAGTTATGTTAGTTTACCAGAGGGTAATCTTAATTATAGTTATTATAGTGTACCCTCTGGTATTTTAAGATTTAGTTCGTTGATAATTTGTGTTTTTGAAGATGATGATTTTCCATAGCTATGTAACAGTTTACCAGAGGATAACTATGCTTATCCCATAGAATATGTGTAATGGATTATAAGTGGAATTTGAATGGATTATTGGATTATATATGGATAAATTGATTCAATACCATATAGAGTAAGTTAAAACTAGAAATGGATTATGTCGATTTAAGTCATTGCGACTGTTTACAACTCTTTGCCAGTGTTTATTGAACCACCAGTTATTGTATCTTCAGCACTCTAGCTCGAAAACTATGAAACATCATCGTCCCCAACAATATCAAGAATGGGACGGTCATGAAGCATCATGAAACCATGTTCAGTGGTGAAACCGTTTGAGAAACCTTTGGGTTTATTAAGAAACAAATTCCTCATGTTGCAGTGCTCAAAATCCAATGGTGACCCCTTAACTGGGAACCCCTGAACTGGAATTGTAGGGGTTCGTAGAAGAAAAAAACCAGGATGTTATAGATTCATATTCTATAGTTGGCTTTTCTATACTTTTTTTAAGGTTGGTACTCTCTGGTAATTCAGTCTGCTATGCTAAACTCACCATGCTTAATAGTAGGTAAATCATCTAGAAATAGGACATGTTCATCCCTTTTCCATAAATATGTTCCAACATTTTTCAACATTTATCAATTTTCCATATAGTAACCATGGATAATCATGGTATTTTTGTGCAGTCGGGCTAACAACGCGCGCTTTTTTGAATGCACCTCCCATAGGCGGCGCGTTTGTGTGCATTTTATACCACGTATGTCAGTGTTTCGGGTGGGGTGGAGTGGGGCTGATAACGTTCCTTGGCGCTTGGGGGGGAGGCGATGATAACGTTCTTGATAGTACGTTCTTGATGTTTCATCTTAATGAAGTGACATTCATGTTTCTACGCTGGTCATTGCTTGGGGGGGGTTCGGGGGGTGGGGGGAGGCGATGATAACGTTCTTGATAGTACGTTCTTGATGTTTCATCTTAATGAAGTGATATACGTGTTGCTACGCTGTGCACTCTTCGTGGTACAATTTCGACATGGCCAAAGACAATGCGTGACCTCCCTGCAGGTGAAAAACATGTGTCATTGTGTCCGTGTTGCAGCAAATCAAATTCTTCTGCTTGTGAATAGACCTTCATAGACCTACTGATCTGTCTTTGATCGTGGCTTCTTGGCATTAATCATGTCGAGCATCACTGTGAGTAGCCACAATCTGTCTTCATCATTGATCGTGTTGACATAGATGATGGCGCCTGTCGGCGCGCGCAAAAACGGCCCGACCGGTCGTTGTTGGTTTAAACATTTTAAACCCAAGTTTCCTATCCTATCGGATCAAGGCGAGAGCGTGCCCTCAGACTCCAGCACCAGCAGCAGCAGCGACGGCGACAGCGGCAGATGCTGGTGGGGATGCGCGTTGTTGGATCACGGTGCACATCAGGATGTTGGACAGGAAATGACATGAATTTACGTTAAGCCCATGTAAACCTGAGATTTTTAAATGGATCTTATGATATCTATTGATATCTTATGTATCCTGTTGAATTGGGGAGGTACTTAATTCAAGATCATTTAAGTAGCATCCATATTCTATCATATTCTCATATATTCTCACGATTTGGCAGTTTTTTAATGCGGGGTCGACATGAAAATTCTGGCCGGTCCCGCACAGGCCATGCTGCTGAAGACGCGAGGACGGGATGCCACTGGTGTCGAGCGGTTGTAGCTGGGCTAAACAAAAACCATCTCGTAATGGATCAATATCTGTAAATATCTGTAAATATTGTAGACACATAGCATATTTTTGCATCCATATCTGTAAATACTGTAAATGGATGTGAATCTACATATCTGTGAATATCAATATTTTTAGGGGATTTGCACATCCATTTATCAGATTTTATCAGCTATTGTCTGTGATGATTATTTCCAAGGGTTTGGACCCATCCCCAAAAAAATGAGTTTCAGATGACCCAGTCGTCAAGGGTATTGATCACTTCAAAAAAACATGGTAGATGGGGCAGCAGAGGCATGAGAATTTCTTAACACAAAACTTCGATGAAATTTCCAGATCATCCATGGTGTATGTTTACCTACATTCACCCCATCTGTTCATGACAAATCAAACAGAAACTGGCTGGGATTGGGTTTCTTCATGGTGCGGAACCCAGCTGATGTCATGACCAGGTTTGATGCTGCAGAGGCTTTCCCTCTGTTCCTGGCGAATGCCAACGCCTGAGATATCCTGAGATTCTGCGGAGTGGTCTTTGTTCCATTCCTTTCAACTTCGAAAATGTGGCTTTGGCAACCTGAAAATAGTGGGAAATCCCCACTTTCATGGTTTTGAACCTTAATCTTTCCCACATGTTTTGATGGCAATTTTCGGGGCCAATCCCCCATAAAATGCATTTTCCAGCAGAAACTGGTGTATGGCCTCAGGCTGTTGTCCTTCCAGGGAAAGGAGGCAGGGTAGTTATGCAACTTTGATCCATACTCACAGATCGATAGCTGAGAAAAAACGCTGAACCCTCTGGGGGATCAATCTTAATGGATGTTGCTGAAGCATCTAGGCTCAAGCTTGAAGAAACAGACATTTTCCGCCATGGGCAAGGGCAAGGGGAAAGGTGGCAGCGTGGCTACTTGGTCCGAAGTGGTGGGAAGTGTAGTGTTTTCCGATACACGGCCAATGACTTCTTTGTAAGCATCTGGGTTTGTGCAAACATGAGGGATACCGCATGCTGCAAAAATTGCCGTCTTTAACAGTGGAAATGATAAACTATCAAATTTGGCGGTACCCTATTTTCAAACAAACCATCTTAAGATGACATGGTGAGGGTATGTCAGGGTATGTTCAAAAAAATGTCACGGGTTGGTGCCCCGGCCCACAGCCCTGACTTTGCAGCCCCAAGGGAGACGTCTGCATGACTTTTCCTGGGATTTGCCTTGTACAGTATGGTATCCAAAGAGTCCTTTCAGGTTCTTGTTGATTTCTTTAGAAAATCAGGCCATGCCGTAGGCCATAGTTGCGAGAATTTACCACCATTAGGAGGACCCATTGGTTGAAAAAGAGTTTGGGAGTTCCAAACTGACGTGTTTTCTCGTAAAATTCCGTGTGGGAGCATAGCTGTCTGGTAACTCCGTAACCGATGAGTTTCTTGCAAACACAATATAAACATATATAAACATATATAAACCAAGATGTTGCCTCTTTTGTTAGGTATTTTTGGGTGTCAAAGGAAGAGTCGCAGATTGGACACATGGAATCTGTGAGATGTTTGACCCGTAAATGGCCTGGCGTCGCCGTGATCGGGCCGAGGTCGCAAAGCTCTTTGGATGCAGAAGTTGGGCAACATTCATCATGGGGATTCAACCGCTCCAAAAAATATATAAGCCCTCAATTACTATAGGGATATATAGGGATGATATCTAAAATAAATTGTCTATAACTTGTCTTAGTATGTATATATATATACATATCATAATACATATATACACATATACACACATGCACACATGCACACATGCACACATGCATACATGCATACATGCATACATGCATACATGAAGACATGCATATATGCATATATGCATACATGCATACATGCATACATGCATACATGCATACATGCATACATGCATACATACATACAGACAGACATACAGACATACAGACATACAACAGACACACAACAGACACACAACAGACACACAACAGACACACAACAGACACACAACAGACACACAACAGACACACGACAGACACACGACAGACACACGACAGACACACAACATACACACAACAGACACACAACAGACACACAACATACACACAACAGACACACAACAGACACACAACAGACACACAACAGACACACAACAGACACACAACAGACACACGACAGACACACCACAGACACACAACAGACACACAACAGACACACAACAGACACACAACAGACACACAACAGACACACAACAGACACACAACAGACACACGACAGACACACGACAGACACACAACAGACACACACAACAGACACACAACAGACACACAGCAGACACACAGCAGCCACACAGCAGACACACAGCAGACACACAGCAGACACACAGCAGACACACAGAGACAGACAGACACAGACAGACACAGACAGACACAGACAGAGACAGACAGAGACAGACAGACACAGACAGACAGACACAGACAGACAGACACAGACAGACAGACACAGACAGACAGACACAGACAGACAGACACAGACAGACAGAGACAGACAGACAGAGACACAGAGACACACAGAGACAGACAGACACAGACAGACACAGACAGACACAGACAGAGACAGACAGAGACAGACAGAGACAGACAGAGACAGACAGAGACAGACAGAGACAGACAGAGAGAGGCAGACAGAGAGAGAGACAGACAGAGACAGACAGAGAGAGACAGACAGAGAGAGACAGACAGAGAGAGACAGACAGAGAGAGACAGACAGAGAGAGGCAGACAGAGAGAGACAGACAGAGAGAGACAGACAGAGAGAGACAGACAGAGAGAGACAGACAGAGAGAGACAGACAGAGAGAGACAGACAGAGAGAG